GAAAACGCACGAAGGAATCTAGGCAATTCGTACATTTCGTTGCGTTAATTGACTCGTTAATGTGTGCATCGCGCTTTAATTGAAAAGTCCTACATCTCGCCAGCGCTCAGCTCCCGTCGGTCAAGAGAAACGCACGCACACCATAAAGAAAATTAAAGAAATTAGACGTTGGAGAATGAAAAAAATTACACTTGCAGTCATAAATTAAAATTACCTGTATTGCACTCCAGGGGCAATGTGTTTACGATTATCTTATTTATAAACGAATTGAATGGCTTATTGATTAAGATCGTGTTATGTGGTTTGTGGCAAGGAATTTTAGTTAATGGTTCATGTTCATGTTTAATGACATTCTGCAGAGTTAATGAGCAAAGAATGCAATGTTTCGAAGTGCCTCGAGGATGCCAAATTAAGACGATCTTCTAGGAGCTGATAATTAAACTGTAAACGATCAACTCGTGCTGCGTGTTGCCTGCTATTATTCCTAAAATTACCAAAAGACATATAACACATGCATTTAATATATAATAAACGATTTTAGTTTTAGTTTAGCGATTTGCGCATGTATCGTTAACTTTAATTATTATTAATTTATATGATGACGCATGTTCTACTAATATTTTTCACGCAATATATTTTTGTAATTGATTAACTAATCAATCACTGAACATTGATAATGCGTATTCTATTTCCTTGTTTGTAAACACAGCACAATGCACTCCTTTGATGTTGATGTTGATAACAATCGATTGACTTTTTGCTGAATAATGCAATCAATCATTGCATTGATCGAAACGATTGTTTAGCATCGATGACAATACTAATCCTGTTCTAACATAAGCATGATATATAATAAACTGTGCATGTTTACTCTCCACTCATCAACGAACCGTAATAACCGCTAATTGAATTTTTTTCATGCGCAAACCTCTCGTTTAGATTCTATCTGCATGATGTAGTTAGTTGTGTTTCCGTGTATCGTAACAATTAATTGTATTATTATTAATTTCGGAAATAAATTGTCGACGCACATCAATGTTCAATTTCCTTTGTAATCGTCGTAACGACGTCTAATGTTGTCCAGCGTTGTCTAACGTTCGATCTTCTACATGGGAAGCGCCGACGAAGCGGGCCGTAAATTTTCCTTAAGTGCGACGTAAATCCGGCTGTTTATAAGACTTAGCCGTCGGCGGGGTTAGCGCAGGGACTCTCGACACTTGCGCCTTCTTCGAAGAAGGCGGAAGTGTGAAGACCACGAACAAAAACAAGGAGCAAACGCTGCGCAATGCGAAGACAAAGTGAAATAAAACTCGCAAACACCTTTGGCCAAAGGCAGCTGGGTGGAGACAGTGGCGCGCGTAAATATTTCCGCGATGTAATGATGAGAATTACGTTTTAAAAGCGGCGCGCCATGAAAAAGTCGTTTGTGGTGTTCGCGGTGCGACATTGACATTTGCATAAGCCATTCACGCGACCTATGTGCACAGTTAGTGCCCTGTTTCTGTTGGTTTTCATCCAGTTTTTCGCCGTGGATGCACGGCATACCATCGCTCAATCGGACGGGCACGCGCACGTGCACATGCACACTGGTATTGCTTTTTTTGGTTTTACGACTGCTGCCGAGGAACGTCTCGCGGAGTCTCTCTACAGTTGAAACCGCAAGAGCGAAATTCTAACTGTAACGGTGCCGCGGCATGAACGCCGCACTATTTGCACGCCCACACGATTTGATCGTATCGACTGCAACAAGTCAGCAATTCAATAAATACAATAAATTAAATAATTAAATGAATGGATTGTATAATACGGAAGTTGGTGCTTCGGCTATAAATTTTGTGTGTGCCACAATGTTATTGTACAATCAACACAAAGGTAAGATTTTGATTTTATTGCAAAATATTGTTAAGTGTCAAAGACATAAATTTCTTATTTTTCTTGTAAATTTTGTTAAAAAATGATTTTTTATGCTTAAAAGTGTGAAATCGGTAGCTAGAAATACTCAAAATGATTTAAGTGGTAAGTGCCAATGGATCACACCTCGGTTTTGTGCGAAAAGTGAAAACTAGGTTGCTTTGCTACCGGTGTGCCGGCATATGAATATCAATATCAATTCGTCAATGATACGACGCCGGTAGTCGCCTCTCACACATTAATGTGCCGTTATAAATGACAATCGTGTCAATTCATTCACAAAGAACAACGTGTTTGCATCACATTAGTATTGTCGCCATTCAATGAACATCTAAAATTAAATCAAGTGTTATAAATAATATGGAATAAATGAAGTCTAGTCATAAACAATGAAGTAAATGAGTAGTAAAATAATAAATTTCTTCCTGTTGTGTATCGCCATTACGAACAAAGTGCCTTCTCGAATCTATTGCTGTAATTATGTCCACTTTAAGCCGCTTCCATCTACGATGAAAAATGAACGAAAATAATGTCTTTCGACGGCGATTCCAATTTGAAATTTTAATCGCCGGCACTCCGTTCGTACGGGAATCGACGCGCGAGCGGACGCTGCGATTATTATACGCTCGCGCGGCGATTAATTAGACAGCGAAATTCGAAAACGGCAGGCGTCTTCGCGTCTGTACTCGCGACTCCGCATCTCGATCTCTTCCTTTCTTTGCGCATCAAAAGAGTATCTCGGTTTGTGTATATGTTTTCAATGTTCCAAGGCACAAAGGTATCTACTTGCGCACACAACACACGTTTCGAGCGCGGACTGAACGAAACATATGATGCGAACGTGATCTGCTAACCCAAATTTCAATTTCTCACACGGCGTGTGAGATGGACAGGCAGACAACATCGCTACTTTGTAATAATTGCAAGCAAGTTACATTTTTTTTACTTAATATTTATTAATTTACAAGAAAAGATTTCGTAACGATTTTTTTCTTCTTCAAATTATCTAAGTAATAGTGTTTAAATTGTGTTTTTATTTATCGCTGGTAGATAAACTATTTGGTTGTAATAAATCCTATTAAAATTGACCCGAATTTTCACTCGGTTGCAACAAAAAGATTTCCATACAAAACCGCTTTAATGGCTTTTCCAAAACGCATGAAAATATGCTTTTAGAAAGTTAAAACAGGCAATAATTCCAGCGTCCGTAATCAAGATCCTAATTTTCTTTCACCGAATTTTTGCCCGTCCGTTAAAAGTATACCAAACGCATTACAAACGTACTGAAATTGATGCTGGTCAGAAGTAGTTATAACAAGATAAACGTGCATTTAACATGATTATTATTAGCTATTACCGATCGGCTCTATTACCGCTATTACTATTCATTATTTACGTTTTAATTTTGAGGCGTTCCATGAGTGCAGTTACGAAAAAAAAACAGCGCACGATGCTATCGGTGCCGGCCGGAAGAAGAATGAAAGTCCAACATCAATCAACGCATTACACTCGCGATAGATAAATGTAATGATACACTGTGAGATTCTGATGCTGTTTTCTATCAATTCGTGCTGAATTCTCTCGCGCTCGCCAAATAGGTGCCTTCCTATTTTTATTTATCGTTTATTTATGCTAATCCTGCACATATGATAGCCATCGACACAAAGAAATCTTCGATGCTTCGTGGAGGACGATTCGTGATCGTGATTTTCGCTCGCGTTTTACTCACGATCTTCTTGTGCTTCTTACGAATGTGTAACGAGTTCATCGCTAATAAAATCGAAAATTTCAGACCGCGCAGCCGCAATAGGAAAACTAATATGCAAAGCAGTGCAAATTACACACAGTGAAATTGTTTGCTTTCGACTTCGGCGCACATCTCTCACTCGGATGCTTGGTTAATTATTCATCGATCGCTCTAATTATTTATATTAATTCTGCGTCTGCCGCATAATTGGATTAGCGAAACCATTTCTTTCATTTAAAGGCAAAAATATGAAAGTCACAATAAAAAATTATTCTCATTTATGATCATCATTAAGTTGAGTTAATTATGTCTTTGGAAATGTGAAAAAAATGAGATTAAAGAAGAAATTAAACATTCATTTTTTCATTTTTGGATTTAGTGTTTTCAACTCTTCCTCAGTAAGTAACCTAACCTTACCTAACCTAAAAAAATGTTTTTTTGCCTTAATTGGCTCCAAAAACGATGAATTTGTATCATTTAAACATTCCATTATAAATTAATCCAAGTTAAACGATTTGTGCTCTAAATCTTTTCGCGTGCCTGATTAACTTTTATTAATATTCGCTAATTTTAAATCACGTCCTGTATTGCGCGCAAACGCGAATCAATAAAGCGGCATTAGTGTGAAGCAACCAGAAACTAGGGAAATGAGAAACAGCCAAAGTGGTCATCATGCTGTCCGGCTCGTGTGCACGTGCATCGCGCGTAGATAACCTCTGATTTCCGAGACGCGGATTATTCGCTTACCTACTGTTTATCCAACGATTTGGGTTAATCATGCCTAATTAATTTCTAATTGAGATTAACATCTAGTTGATGCCTCCGCGAGTGAACGCAATGTTTGACTCGTTAGGTCGTTAATTTAATTTCTTTTGATTTTATTAATAAATAGGCAACCAATATAACATGATTACTTCAGAAGCTCTCAGGACTGGTTAAATTTATTTTTGAGTGTGTGCATGTGTGAATGTGTGCATTGCCAACATGACCGCGATCAAATTTCAGTTTGCGCTTGTTCTCGATTCGACTGTTGTGCTCGCACGAACAATGCAGGCACTCGACAAAGCTGCTGCTGCTTTCTTTTGTGCAGCGTGTTATGTGCATGCGTCCATATGGGTTACGTAAACAAGGGTGAGTAATATAATAAACAGTGCGTTTATTTAAACACAAAACACGCGCGCGACGTTTGTGCGGAGACGACGAGAAGAAAGGTGCAGGAGTAGAGCACACAATGACGACGACGATACCAATGTGGCCGGCGGGCCAATCCTTGTGGAGCGCCACGAAGCTCTTTTCTCTCCTCGCAATGAAAAGCAGTGGTAGAACGGCAGCCAGTGGCACGGCCGAAGAGCGAAGACGCCACGAGATCGGGCCAGACCAAACGGCGATGATATAGCTGCGCCGACCGCCAGCCAGACGCACAGAACACGCTCGAGTGTCTTCGCGCGAGCGGCCCACCACGAATCTCCGCTGCAAAACCGAACTTTTTGCGCTGTTTCCGCAAGTTTTCTAGCGCGACTCCTTCGCTTGTGACGCGCGTGTGTGGAACTCAACCGAAGTAAATCTGCTTTTTTTTTTCTCGGGGAAACTCTTCAACGCCACCCGATTGCTGCATGAAGTTGAAGTTGTCAGTGTCGCGGCGCGCCGAAGTAACTTTTGTATCGAGACAAAATGATTTCATTTAATAAACTAACGTGTTGCACATTGCTAGCCGCCGTCGTTTGTGTCTTGCCGAGTAAGTACTTACCTACCATAAGTAACAAAAACTTCCACTCCAATTCAATTAAAAGTTGCAACTTTTCGGCCAACTTTTTAAGCCAACTAAAAGTTCTCATGCTTTAATGCTGAAAGAGTCGCGATGGTAGCAACTTTGGTTCATTGATTCGTGTGAGATTTCCGCGGCGCGTGTCGACGTAACTGCGCTCCGTTAAAATCAGTTAAAATCGGACACAAAAGTTCCGCGCGCTGAATCGAACGCTCGTCTCGCGTTTTGTGCGCTTAGCGCCTCATCATCGCGACACCGTTATTAATTGTTGTTACTTGTTACACTTAACGAGAATCAGCACCGGCCGAAACTGAACTGTTTTTATTTTCGTGTGTATATAATTAAAAATAACTGCAATTATAAATTATTAAATAACTCACTGCAGGCAAAAAATCTGCTAATTAGAAAATAAGATGGCATAGCGCAAGAAAATTAATATGGTTATTATATTAATTAATAAATTAATCAAATAATTAATAAATCGATTTTTTCGATTGAATTTTACAAATTATAAAAAAATAACGCAATTATTATTAAGTAGCTGTGAATAAATATTTGTTTAATTTGTTACGATTTGTTAATTAATGTCTCCAAGCACAAATTACGGATTTTCGCAGACCAATTAACTGATTTGTAGGAATTGTGGTATTTGCATCACTTATTCTTCGCAAAAAACGCGAATTTCTGCGTTCCGAAAAATGCGCGCGACCGAAACCGTTGCTTTTAATTTATGCCCTCTTGTGGTGCGCCTTTTACGTCGGAATTAACGAATTTACTAGTTTACGACAAAACGGCACATATCGCCGAGATGGTCAGCATGTTAATCGCGCGACATGTACAAGGTTGGCATGCGACCACGATTAGAGCAAAGGTATGTCAATAAAATCGTGTGCGGGCTCGCATCTCACATAAAAATTAATTAAGTCAAAAAATTGCGTCGAAATATTTGTGGACTTTTCGGCGCGCTCGCAATTACCGAATTTTATTGCTTACTTAACGTAAAAATGTAAAATTGATTTTTTTTTGCCCGGCGTTCTGCAAACTTATTTTTTTATTTCGGCGGCGACTTCCTGGGCCTTCTTTGACGCGATGCCCCCGATACCGTTGTGCCATTCCCACGTTGACGTATCGCCGGGTGGATTTTTTGCCGCAGTCGTTACACTCGCTGTTACCTCACCGATTCACTTCTTGGACGCACTTACAATCTCATTTTGTGTGTGTTTCTTTTCGCAAAAAACATTTCCGGTGTGCCACGACATAATTGCCCATCATGTAGTGACGCAGTTTCGAGTGCAATTCAATCTGCGGTTTATTACACTTCACCTGTCCGGCAAACATGGCAGAACAAAAGTCGCACGAAATTAATGTGCGCGCACGACTTATTAAGCGCTCTACGTCCGACCGGAAAAAGAAAACTTGTATTGTCATTTGCATATTTTCAAAGTTAAATTGAGGTGTAAATTTTAATTATAAACTGGCGTGCTAAATAAATGATAAATATTCATGAGTCAAAAAGACGTTCAAAATCGATGATAATAAATTGCTAATCATCTTAACTTTTGAAAAGTTTTATTTTTGGCATAATACTTAATTAACGTAATCGGATTAAGAGATTAAGAGCAGGTCACATTAACTAGGTAAGCGTTTCATAAATTAGCAAAATATCAATTCTAGAAACAAAATTAATTGAGATTTATTTATCATTTTATTTTTATTGCCGCCAAGATGCTCCATAATTTAATTAAACTTTTGATTAATAATCTAAAGCGTGTTTGATGTCAATTTACCGAACAATGACTGTTTGGATGTGAATATTACTTCACAAAGAAGCATCGGAACAATGAATACCATTGACTTCCTTTTTCTCAGTTGGTTTATTATTTATAACTTACATGATGTATGTACTAAACGCGATAATATCAAAATCAAATCTCATACTAATCGTTCATTTTATTTGGAATGCTCTGTACCTCTATACATCTCAACCGCAGCACCCAGATATAAAAGATTAAGACATCGTTGAATTTTTATGTTTTACATCGAATTCGTTGCACAATTTTATTTCACATTGCCTGGGCGATCAATAAACCATAAACGCAGCTATAAACTGCGTTCGTACGCAGCACTCGAGATGCGTCTTTAATTGAAACATTTTGTATCGCTGGGTATTGACTGTTACCACATTACTTCACTTTATTATACTTCTTCAGATAAGCATCCGTTGTGGTAGTTGTTCGTTTAATGCCAGGCGCATCGTGCAAGTTCAAGCACACACATTAGAACTCTCATCTTAATTCGACCTTCTCGAATCTCTGAGAGATAATTCAAGTTTGTTTGGTTCGGCAATTCACTAAAGCCTCAATTCGCTGCAATCCGCCGGGTATGTTGCAAGTGCCCGTCTGTTTGTAGTAACTTAACTATTAGCCATACGGAATCGTTTAGATCGTGATGTTTGTGCAAGCGTGTTTAATAGCTAATTGAGCTTCATTTCTGAGTTCAATTTTAAGGCAGTTAACAGCTTATTTAAGCTTAGAAATGGTTTATATCCTCTTATATGATAATCAAAGTATTATATCTTATTTATTTGATATTTATGTTAAATTAGTTCAGTTGTGGTTGAAATGAAACATTTTAAAAGTTTAATATGCAATTTTGCAAGTTAAGTATTCTGGCTTTAGAAGAAAATCAATTTCTCGTTAAACTTTCAAAGTTGCTGATCTCAAGTTCCAATCTCCCACTGGAGTTCTTTGTTGCAATATCCCTTTAGTTGGAGAGTTGAATACAGAAAGTTTAAGTAGCTTTCAGGAAAACAAAATATTTTGATATTATTTCCACCCACCCTGTGCTAATTTTACTTCAACATGATTACCATTGAAATAACTATTTATTAACTTTCTAGTTTCAAGTTTCCTAGCAAAAACCAGCAACTTTTAGGTCCTCGATTTAAGATTACTTAAATGCGTGCGTTTATTTCCTCCTAGAAGATTTAATATTCCATGAACGTGCATATACAATGCAAACGACGCTTTGTTCAAACGCAAGCCGACTTAAAAAGCGAAAAAAAAAACTGGTAAATAAATTTAAGCGCCTTAATACGATAAGTGCGCTTGCGCTCAAGAATATTGTAAACGTGCAGTGTATGCGCTATTAAAGGAAGGTGGCACAAAAACCGCATTAATGCCTGTTGCCGATAAGACATATCTGTATATACTTTCCTAGTTGTAAAGTGTTTGCGATGAATTATAACCTAGAACACATTGAAATGAAAATCTTTCCAATGTGAAAACACTCTGTATTTTTCCGACATTGACATTGGCGTTGAGCGTGAGGCCTTTGCGTACACTTCGCTCAGTCATGAACATGAACGACATGAACCACCATCGGTTTCGACCTATTCACCTACTTCGAACTCGACTTAAGTCTGACATGCCGTCAGTCTCGCCTTCATGTCGCGGGCGCGTTTTTGCCGGCGGTCTCGGATGTTTCCCATAACGTTTATATTCCCATAACAGCTTTCGCGTGCATCGCAAGTGCACACACGTGGCACGCGAATCCTACTTTACTTTTTGTCCACTGTCCAGCGTCTTTAACTCGTGCGGCTTTTTTTCTTCGTCCGCACTGTTCGGTTGTTATTTATCGCTCGGTACACACTTTCAATAAAACAGCGATTCGCGCCGTTGGAATTGCCTCAACGCGGTAAAAAGTGCAAATTGAAATTGTACTGCTATCGCACCTCATTGAAATTAAGCAAAATTTATGATGCGTCGACAATGATTTATTAATTTTGCTCGCCGAGTGCAGCGACGTACAATAGACTACAGATTAAATTAAGAGCACAAGAACGTTGCGTGCTCGGTGGCGATTTGTTAGCGCAATTACGGCGACGGAGAGAACTTCATGAATTTACGCTACGCCTCAAAAGAAAAGTATTCCTATCGGTAATTTCTTTATCAGCACAAAGTTTTTTTCGTCCGTCGTGTGCTTTGATTATACCTTACAATTGTTAACCTACTTGAATGTGTCCAGCATATGTGATTAATATTTAAAACTTTATTTTGCGCCCTAATTATAAATGATTAATGTTTTTCGTTTCACGGTGGCCGCGTTTCGTTTTCATGCTAATTTTCATGTTTGTTTTACGTTGTTTTTAACTGCCGCCGCTGGTTTCTAAAAGTAATCCAGGACGAAATCACGCGGAACAATAAAAATTAAGACGTTCGCTCATCGTTTACACACTTTCGAACGTCGGTAACTCAAAATTGTCGATTTTGTCGTCATGTCGTCACAGTTCGCAGGTTTTGCAACATTTGACGAGGAAAAAAACTAAGTAAAGGTTCGATAAACTTTTGCTTGCTTGTTTTTTAATTCATAAAGTCAAACAACCTGGAAACGTGACATCAGCAAATTGCAGTAATGAAGACCCCGCAAATTTCGGCACTGCATACAAAAATGCTGCGTGCCATCACGAACAAATAATTGCAGAAGAAATTTTCGTGCCGGTGCAAGATGCTTCGTACGCGGAATAAAGCTATACATGCGCCGTGGTCTTCCTTCCATTCGCTGCACAAAGGGCAAAAAAGTTGAAGTTTATTGTTTGTCTCCCGTGTGTGTGCGCGCCGGACCGGTACGTGATCAGTCATCCAGGCGGATTTAAACGTTTGCACGTTTTTGCAACGAAAAAGTCACGCAGAGTCACATAATTCCACGACATGTGAGTCGTAAATTTCAGCCTGTTTCATCTTTTCATCGTTTAATCGCAAGGTGCATAACTCGTTGGAACATTACCAAGTCCAGGAATGAGTGATTTATAACAGTTTCGTTTCGTTTTCTTTCGTTTACCCTGAAACTAGCAACACGTCTGGTACCTGCATGGTAATATTCTTGTTTAGATAGACGTTTTCATTAGCAATTTGACCTTTGACGCCGAGAGCTCTAAATATGCGGTCAGGGCATAAGCAATTTTCATTTCATTGTAATCTGGATGTTGGAGATTTATGAATTTGACAACAAAGTTGCCATTGTGAGGAATCTCATGCTAAACGAGAAATTCAACAATAATTATGAGTGTTTGCAATGATAGTTAGAATTGTTAGAACAATGCTAACTCAACCAACGTACGTGTATCTTCAATAAGAACATGTAGTTAGAGAGTTAGAGTTAGTTTATTTTGCTTGCTCAGCAACAGAACCGAATGCCTTCACGGTTCATTTCTGCTCCTTTGCGACCCGGCTCTACGGCTGCAACAATTCTAATCTGTAACAGTCGACTGGTTATAAGAAACTAGCAATCGTCGTGGTCAATGCAGACATGCGCTTGAACATAAAATAAGGAAGTGTGTACGGAAATCACCAACAGACGTATTTAAATCACCATAAACCGGCGCAACTTTTGTTTGCTTCTACTCATTTCTTCTCGTTCTTGATGTTTTACGTTTAATTACAGGTACTTTGGCCGCTAGAGATTCATCCTGCCCGCGAATCTGTGCTCCTCATGGGTATGGCGATCCAGTATGCGGCACGGACGCTTTCATTTACCCCAACATTTGCGAAATGAAGAAGAAAACATGCGGAAAAGGAGTAAAGATCTCGCCGGATCATGAGCTCTGCAAGCGGTCGTCAGGGTCGAAATGTGAACACAAATGTGGATCTGACAAGGATCCCGTGTGCGGCACCGATGGCCGCACTTATCTCAATAGATGCATGCTGCAGGTTGAAATCTGTCGCTTGGGCATTGGTCTCAGTCATCTTGGACCATGTAATAATATCAGTGCGCATCGCGAGAACTGTCCGGTGGATTGTAAACAAGCACCACAAGATGGGCCCATTTGCGGAAGTGATGGCAACGTGTACAAAAACACTTGTCAAATGAAGCTGATCACGTGCGGGTAAGTGTATGCAGGTATATTAATGTGTGTTTTGTTTAATATGGGGATGGATTCGTAGGCAAGGTGTGGTCCGCACCAACAAGAAGTACTGCCAGACGACGCGACATTGCCGCGAGTCCTGCTGGAGGAATGCGCGCCCCACCTGCGGCTCCGACGGCAAGATCTACGCGAACGTCTGCCGCATGAAGTCGAAGAACTGCGGCAAACACGTGTTCGAGGTGCCGATGGCGTACTGCGTCAGCCAGGAGCGGTCGCCAACAAGCGTCGCCTGCCCGACGGACTGCGCCGGCGAGCTGGAGAAGCCCGCTTGTGGCTCCGATGGCCTGGTCTATCGCAATGAGTGCGAGATGAAATTGTTGACTTGCGGGTAGGTCATCAATCAACGCGAGCGGTAAGCGCGCCCGTAATGTAATTGCAGATCAATCACAATTACAGCGCGCGCGGCCGCCGCTTTCGGGTTCATTATTTCGCAGTTATGCGCGCGGGTATGAATTAACGCTTAACTGTATTGCAGTTCGAACAAGAGAGTCGGCAAGGTCGACATGGAGAAGTGCCGCAACCGTCTTACAAAATGCCTCAAGATGAAGTGCACCAACGACATGGATCCGGTGTGCGGAACGGACGCCCGGACGTATACGAACCAGTGTGCGCTCAACATGGCGACGTGTCTGAAGGGCGTGCAACTGGCGCACCTCGGCAACTGCACCGTACTCAAGGAACAGGCATGCCCCACGCATTGCGACGACGATGAAGGCGTCGAGCCAATCTGCGGCTCCGACGGAAATGTTTACAAGTAAGAACAATACATCCCACTATATTATTTTGGTTTTTGAACTCAGCTCATCAACGGTGCATTCTTCTCTGATGTGTTCTCATAATTGATGCTGAATGGGGAATAACGATGCACGAAACGCAGGCAAAATATATACATTTAACCCACCCGCCAATGAATAATGAGGGGCACCTCTAACGTGGTGAAACATATTGTCTAACGACGTGCATTATGTCAGGTCGTGTTGAAGTCTGGCAATTTTCGGCATGGCTCCTAATTGCAGTCTGCGGTTTGCAGATTGCAAATTTTGTTTTATATCCATCAATTTTCGCAAATGACGGTCATAACTAAAACTCGCCAAACTTCATCCAATGTAATTATTTTTTCATTCTCCTGCACAGGTCGGAGTGCGAATTAAAGAAGGATACCTGTGGGCAGTTGGTGGTTCAGGTCCCGGCGCATCACTGTAGGACTACAGCAGCGTGCAACGAACAATGCGATGAAAGCGAACGACAATTCGTATGCGGCTCTGATAATAAGATCTACAGGAGCGAATGCGAGATGAAGCGCAGCAATTGCGGGTAAGGATCTATGTCGGTGCACTTTGAATGCATGTAATTGACGTGTTTTTCATGGGTGTGTACGCAGGAAACACATTTACGTTGTGCCAATGAAGCGCTGCCTCTCCGGATTTCTCTTCCGCGGCTGCCAAAAGATCTGTCCGACCTACTACGATCCGGTGTGCGGCACCGATAGCATGACCTACAGTAACACTTGCTTCCTCGAAATCGAAAACTGTCGGTCGCGGTCGTTGGTGCAGCTGAAGAACATGGGCACGTGCGCGGAGCCGCTTAACGAGGTCCCCAAGAACTACCTCTACTGAGCCTTCATCGTCGGTGCATCATTTTTCTAGCCTTGCCTTGCCAACTACCGCACACACACTCATCACCTATGTAGCGACAGAGATATTTTTCGATGCTACATTTAATGATTTCAAATATGGCACGTGTTGATCACTTCCATCAATTTATTTCCTATTCACTATTTTGCGGCCATTTATCAGTTTTACTTTTGTTTTTTTAATTATTTAATTTAGTGTTGTTTTCAATCTCCATTAAAAGTTCTTCTCTTTGTATTAAGAACAATATGAGTGGCTAATATGTGATTCCAGCGACTGATTACAAGTTTTTTTTTTCAGTTTTCCATTAATTTCATTAGATTTGAAATTATATTTACACATTTTAGTTTATGTTATTTATTGTATTTTAGTGTATTTTGTAATATTATTTATCATTTTGTAGTTGTATTTATTATTGTCTTGTGTATTGTGTAATTCTTGTTTACCTCAATTTGCTTTTTGCAATTATGAGTTGTTTACAAAGATATCTATTTATTTACGTCTTGATTGTGCCAATTTTTTGGTTTTATTACAGTTTACAACTATTTTTAAATTAACGAAACAAGTTTATGCGTTGTTTATTTTGTATAAAAATTAAAATTCTTTTTTCAATGAAATATTTGTATTGACATGCAACATCTACCAGTACCACACGAGCCTGGGTACTCTGCTCTTCAGAATATATGTTTCACAAAGGATGGCGATCAGATCTTTATAGAATCTACTAAATATTCTGAAAATGAGAAGATTGTCGAGAGGATTTGCAACAAAAAGTTTCACAACTGATTTACATGTTAAAAATAATTTTTAATTACAAGTGCGGGCAAAATCATATCAGTTCATTTTGTTACAATATAAATTAACATCATTTTAAAATTACTAAATTCCTAACAAAATTACTACCAAAAATGACTGGAGAGTATTCCCATAGGTCTTTCCACTTTTCCTGTCTTATAGTAATTCTGCAATAAAACTTCAAGTCTTGCCAACGGACCACCAGAGTCCTTTTCCTTCAACAGCGGAATTTGAAACTCGACAAGATAAATAATTAACTTCTTAAATTGTCTGCCATAGGTCTCCTGCATAGTCGATCCAGCAACTTCCAAGAAACTATTAATAGCTGTTGCCGTGACATCCACATACGGAACTCTATTCAAAGTCCTTGCAAACCACGTCCAACCATTCCCCAGATGATGTGGATTCTCAGGTGTACCACGCTTTGTGTTACTAATTAGAATAGAGAAATACAACTTACAAATACCAGTTATTCTTTTCAGAAACTTATCCTGTTTCTCTATAACTCCGTCATTATACTGATACCCCATAAGTGTATAAAACTGTTCATCACTCTGGCCCTCCTGTTTTTGAAAGTATATCGGTAGTAAATATGGACACTCCTTGTAGAAATGAGCTAAGAGCAATTTTCCAAAAATCGGAAAATCATTCCATAAAGTTACAATTATAGTAGCGTACGCAAAAGCAGCATCAGGGTTGCTTGATATTGTTAGATCCCCTTGCAAAACAAACTTTTTTGCTAGTAAATCCATCACGAACGCGATGCCCTGTGGATGCTGTGAGGCATTCATGCGACTATCACTAATCTGAACAGTTTTACCCGACAATAAATTGTACAATTTATTGTATTTATCTCGTAAGTGCTCACTGCTAACAGCAGATATTGCGTTTACCGGAAGGTTGACAGCTTTCTTGCAATCAAATTTAAACTGTTTTAATGACTGATCATCCAATAACTGTTTATAGCTTTGTTGATGCTGTTGTAGGAAAGTTTGAAGTCCAACATAGGTAGTTAAAATTTCTTTATCATCTGATTGAATTGTAGAAGTCATAGAAGATGCTGGTGTGTTTTCTGTAGGTTGAATAACTTGTGCAGATTGTTCTGTTGTTTGTGCTGCTTGTTGAGCTGCAAGTGCAGCTTGTTCTGCCGCAAGTTTCTCTTCTTCCTTTTTCTTTAATGCAGCAACTGTTTCAGCTGCCTCGCGTTCACGCTTCTCGTAATGTGCTTTAATTTTATTCTTAATTAACTCTTTCATTTGTTTAGATGTCTGTAGTATGTCATTAGCAAGTTTTATGTCTTGTTGGTGTACTTGTGTTGATCGTATTTTAGTGCTAATACTTTTGTAACTACTGCAAATGTGTTTAAAATCATTTTCAAATTTCAACAATTCACTCTTAGCTTCCTGATTTGTTTTCATTAAACTATCAATTTCTTTGATGGTGGTGACAATATCTTGCTCAATAGTAGCATAATCTGAATGTAACTTCTGTTGTTTTTGTTGTTCCTCAGCTTTAGCTTTAAGTAATTTAACATTTTCTTGTTGTCTCTGTTTGTTTCTAGCTGAAGCCTTCTCAATTTCAATTTTTGACTCATGCTCCACTTCATTCATTGCCTGCTTCATTAAATCTGCTTGATATTGAATTTCTTTAAACTTTAATGCCTGGTGTTGCTTCCATTGTTGAGCTTTCTTTGCTTCCTGCACTTTGTTGAACATATCCATGGTTTTCTTATGAACATCCATTGATTGATGCTCAATTTCTTTACGCTGTTTCTCCATTCCAGATAGAATATCATTTTGTATTGTATTATTTGAACTGAGGATGGGCACTTGTTTTTGGTTTTGAGTAGCTGTTACTTCTGCAGAATCAATTGTATCACAAGAAGATTTTGAAATAATTCTTGGTGATTGTGTTTTTGGGGGGCTTAATATTGAATTAGGTCCAATGGTAACACTATCAACAAACTGGGTAATTTTGATAGCTTTTGATATAGCTGAGATTTTTAATGCTGAAAAATCTGATATCATTTCATCTACGTCCATTTTCTGATGTTTCTCTTAATTTTCTGCAAATATTCAACCAAAGATCAGTAAGTATGAAGTAAGTTTTACTTCATAAATATTACTCACTATTTCTTCAAATATGTAAGTAGATGTTTTGCGAAACAAACAAAAACAAGTGGATTATAACCGCACTTTGACATATGTTAACTAAAGGTGATGTATATGGTAGTGCAAGTGCCCAGTCCCAGCCAGAAACGATGGGTTTGTGTTGTTCTGAAGTATTTGAATTTCTCTGGGAATAGCAATAGTATCACTATTGCAATAATTGCAAATTACTCAGCACTACTACATCAATTTATTAATAGGTATGTTAGACAATTTTATACAGTTCTACTGATTCCAATACATAAACATAATACTTATCTATAATCTGTAATTATCTATAGTACTAATCTTTATTTATCACTAATAATCGTCGATTTGGTTCATTCTTTAAACCCAATTCAATTCTATTAACAAACCATTTATCATCTACAGATTTTCTTTTAGCCCAGAAATGCATAGTTCCTCTCTCTTTGCTGCCAATTACAGGTACTTCATATTTGGCTGATAAATCATTGGTATAATTCTTCTCCACATTGCCTACATCTATTGTACCAGTTTTGATGGGTTCACCTAGTATATGAACAGCTCCCTTGTGTGTTCGTATTGTTGTCAAAGCCTCTTTGTAATACTCTGTCTCAGATATTCTGTCATTAAATTTTGATCTTGTTAAAAGTCCCATTGTTACAGTGGCCATTCCTCCCAAAGCTGCTATTTTCACTAATGTGTGATTGGTTACACCCATTCTGTTTAATTATTTTCTCAAACTTTATGGGAAAACTTTGAAATGGGCAAGGCTGTCAAGTGAAGATAATTTGTGGTTAAGTTTGCGTCGTCCTGGATGCAAGATCCGTGCATCATACTGTAAGTATTCAATTTCTTTATCGTTTTTATTAATAATTGTTGTTAATTGTTGTCATCTAACAGAAAACGTGAACTCGTGAACACTATGTGTAGTATGCAAATGAAAATATTCAATCCAAAGGTTGCATTATTCTGTACTAAAACATGATCTCAAAGAACAGCACCTTTTATAATAATGATCTTAATCTATTTTTCACAAAAAATCAAGTAACTAAATAATTAGAAACTACAGTACAGCTTTTTTGTATTTTATCGACATTTTCAGTTTCAAGGCGCTGAGTTTTGTTTGTTTTAAGGGTGTAACAGTTGAATGCAACCAACATCTGAGGATTGCTGTACTTGCATTGGAATGTAAGCTTTGCATTTTTTTAAATTTTCATAAATGCTGTTTACTGTTTTGCGATTTTGAATTTAGTTTAGGGTTTTAATCCAGCAGCTGAACAAGTCTTCTCAGCTCTCAAAATTTAATTTTTTTGTATGGAAGCGCTATTTTTTATTGCTTTTAGAGACCTAGCAGTGTAACGGTAGCTTTGTATTCGGTAGATGTAGTACAGGTTCCTTTCTGCGAGTAGTTGGGGCCCTTGTCAACAGATGGCGCTAGTGTCGCAACTGAAAGATTCAGTTTCGGAATGTTTTGCACTTTCACAACTAGATGGCGCTCGAGTATTAAGTTTTTGTTTAAGTTCACGTCTTTATAGACCAAGAGCCAGTGACGGCCAGACTTTCGTCATTTTAGGAAAGATGAAATTTTGTCCATGTGTTTCTCCAGCACAGGTAAGAACGATCCCAAATTATGAAACCTGGATCGTGGTTCCTTTGGCAGTTAACAGCCAACAAAGATGTACACATGATGACCTATGTTTCGTTATTTTAGCAAACTCCATTTTTGCATATTTTATTCGTCACATTATTATAACATGCGCTGCTCATTGCCAGTCACCTGGTATGGTTTCAACCCTAGCCAGACACCCCTAAAGTATATTTTTTTTAACTTTTTTACTTTCGTTATATTAGGAAAGCTGAATTTGATACACATTATACAGAGAGCTATGAAACTGTGTTTTCCAGCACGCCAGACAGTTTGGTCGGTTCTATCATCCTGCCAGACGCATTGAAAGTGTATAAGAGTTGCAAAAATTGAATTGTTTATACATGAAATTTTCGCATAATAGTAATTTTATTTCAACAAATATTTAATAATAATCCATATACAACATATATGATTCGCTCGCAAAAATTGTTGAAGTAGCTCACTCTTGCAAGGTGGTAAGCTGCTAGCATCAAAGTTGCGCAATTTTTTTTTATTAAAAGCTTCAGTTAATTTGATTTTATTTTATTTTTGTATAAACGGACGGAGCAGGCGATATTGATAACGATCAAACATCGGACTGGAGTTGCAGTGATGGCGAAAATGGAGATATCGATAACAGTGATGATTATTATTAAATATTTGTTGAAATAAAATTACTATTATGCGAAAATTTCATGTATAAACAATTCAATTTTTGCAACTCTTATACACTTTCAGTGCGTCTGGCAGGATGATAGAACCGACCAAACTGTCTGGCGTGCTGGAAAACACAGTTTCATAGCTCTCTGTATAATGTGTATCAAATTCAGCTTTCCTAATATAACGAAAGTAAAAAAGTTAAAAAAAATATACTTTAGGGGTGTCTGGCTAGGGTTGAAACCATACCAGGTGACTGGCAATGAGCAGCGCATGTTATAATAATGTGACGAATAAAATATGCAAAAATGGAGTTTGCTAAAATAACGAAACATAGGTCATCATGTGTACATCTTTGTTGGCTGTTAACTGCCAAAGGAACCACGATCCAGGTTTCATAATTGGGGATCGTTCTTACCTGTGCTGGAGAAACACATGGACAAAATTTCATCTTTCCTAAAATGACGAAAGTCTGGCCGTCACTGGCTCTCGCTCTATTAGTTCAGCATATTATTTCATTTTTCGATTTTTCGATTTGAATTTGTTGGGGTTGCACGCGGAGTGTGCATTGAACCTCGCAAAATTTTCTAATAAATAAATGAAGAGTTGATTAATCGAATAAACTACATTTGATAATACTACTTTTGACACCGTGGAGGATTGGGAAGTATTCTAAAATCGTTTTCCCATTTCAGCAATTTATGTCAATTTTAAAAAGTTGCAAACGATTTGTACTTTGCGTTTCCTTGGCTCGATTTTATTCCTGTTTTCTTCAGATTATAGAAGAAGAGTTAGTTTTTGAATCGAATTGACTAAATTTGAAACCAGTCGACGGTTGGCATGTGTTCTGAAATCGTCCTCAAATTTTTCCCATTTTCGAATAGTGGTGGAAAGCAGTTTGTATCATAGGTTTCCTTGCCTTGATTTTAATTTTGTTTGCTTTAGAGCGAAAGTAATGTTTAATCAAATGGACTACATTTTGTCCACCTCAAGTGTTTCCAAGTGCTCTGAAATCTATCTGAAATTTTTGCCATTTTCGTAAAATTATTGTTTAAAATGTCTTGAAATTAATGATTTCCAGTTATGGTGCCGTAGAAATTTCACAAAGTACTTCAGTAGAACCTCTCTGGCATTGCTATACATTCATAGTTTTAGATACGTGTAATATTTGTATGTAAACAATTTTTGTCGCAGTTTGCGAGCGTATCGCAAGATTGATAGTGACCTCGTGTTGTCGCGGCTGGTTGTGTGCATTGCAGTGCGGATGCAGTTCCATTCCGATCAGCGAGCGAATCGTGCGTGTTCATTGCGACTAGTTCTGTATCTTTAGATAAAAATTAAGTAAATCGATTTAGGTATATTTAATATACAATCGACAGCATATAATAATTCCACGACATATATCGGAATCGGGCATGATCGAGATTTTGCAAGTGTAACTACATGCATTGAATGTGCGCTAATCGCGAGTTACCTGTTTGTTTATCCGTGAGTGTTAACTTTCCGTCGGCTGTCTGTTATCTTCTCATAATACATAGGAATAAAATAATTAATGTACAATATCCATCACGAAAGTGTTGGAGATGCATCTGTATTAAGGCAAGTCTTGAAATCTGTCAATGTTTTTTTTTAAATAATATATATTATTCAATGTTATTATTCAATAAATTGTATTTTATAGTAATATTATAATCTGATTCATATTTCTTTGTGATATCCTCTTTGTTGTTTTCAGGATAAGCGTCTTAAATCATATTGCGTATGAATCTTGTGTGCGTGAAACGTGTACAACATAGCTAAGGCTTGTGTTGTTGTTTTTAAAAAGTTGAATAAAGTAGAAACATAAATAGAAGAATCAAATATTAATGATAAAAACACTCGGTGGTCGAGTGGAGACGTGCACCTGCTGGCATGCTAGCAGACACGGATCGAATCTCAGGTAGAGAAGGCATTTTTCTCAAATGTAAAAATATCAGGTGTAATTTGAGTTGCATATATGAATAGCAACGAAATATAAGGAGAAACGAGAACAGAGAAATGGAAGTAGGAGTAGTAAAGAATAAGAGAAGATAGAAGGAAGAGAACAGAGAGTAGAGTAGAGAAGAGGAGGAGATAGAAGAAAGAGAACAGGGGAGGATCAGATTTTTAAATTTTTTGGCACGTGTCGTTATAAGACAGTCTACGGTCGATCTCCCAGAGCGCCGGAGGCGCTCTGGTCGATCGCCCACTGCTTCAATGCGTCCATTGCTCCCGGCCCATCCTACAGCTACGATGTCTCTGCGCTTCATCCCCGAAATTATCAGGCATATCAACAATTTTTATGGTGGGGGATCATCCCCCGAGTGGGAGAACTCCTTATAAGGACATCCTTTCAAGAACTTATAAAAATATTTTTAAGTTTTAAGTCGCCTCAAGTGAGGTGACACTTAAAAATATTCTTACAAGTTCTGACCTGTAGCTGAAAAGAAAGATGGAGTACACAAATCATACAAGTTACCTTAACAATTTTTATAGAGGGGATCATCCCCTGAGAGAGGGAACTCTCTTAGAGACCTGTTCCTGAAATGATAGAAGGAGAACACACAAATCAAAGAGGTCAATATATCTTACTATTTCTTTATTAACAATAGAATACAAGTTTAGAATTTACAAGCTAACAAAATACATGTCGCCATATTGAAACAGGACTTACGACTTGCTTAGCCGCGCACATATCAGCAATTACTACTTCATAAAGTTCTACCGAAATAATAAAATTAGTAAATAGTAATAATGAATACATAGGGTGATACAAGAAGAAAATCGCTACATTTAATAAGAAAATTCAAAATTTTCAATGCATGGAATTTGATTCACGATTATAAAGGGTGAAACAACGAAAATACAATTACATTTTAATTTAAGAATAAAGAGCTAGAAATTTTGAAATTTTCTTTGCGACGGATTCTCCAGATACGCCACAAGCAAGACAAAATGTACCCGCCGACGGCAACTCAAGCACACACGTGGAAGAAAATTTAATTCGTCTTTTACAAATATATTAGTCTCAATAATTAATTGCCAAACTACGAAAATACTTTAAAGAGCCTGCAGATTTATGAAATAAAAAGAAAATGCAAGCAAGGAAAAATTTACGTTAATAAACCGATGATTGACATGACCATACTCTGCGAGTAGAACGAAGTCGCATCCGACGGCACGCATCAATTTTGTTTTATTACGGTATTCACGTTACATGCGATTTAAGATAAATATGTAATTATGATGTAATAACGTTTACAAACTTACCAGTGCATCAGGTAATCAAGGATAGTACTGAAACAGAAAAAAAAACACGTGTGTGAGAAGTCGCACTATGATGCACACTTATTTAAATTCGTTTTGTCGGATAATGAACATGTACTATTTTAACACACAAATTTCACGGAATATCCTGCTAAGGAGAGCCGTTAATTACACTTACTTAAAATTACGAATAGGATACATATTTCTAATTTCAATTCTCAGCATCGAAATAATCCAATAGCCGACACGCACTTGTAAACACGAGTTTTATAATCATTTTACGCGTAAATCAACATTAGCAAAACACTCCAGACGTCTGTTGTCTTTTGGTGCCGTAATTAATGCTGATTTATAATCAATAAAATGTAATGTAATGGGAATGAATGAAATAATATTGCCGAGCCGCGTGCAGGTAAGAACCGACTGAAGCGGTCGAACGTTCGCAACGTGAGAAGCAGCATTGCGCACGTTTATAGCGATATAAAACTTGTTTATACACAAACCCCGATAAGCGTGTAGAATTGAAATACACATTTCTGATGTGCACTAAAATTAAATATAATATTTCATTACATCAGTTGTAAATTTCGGCGCAACTTTACAAAAATTATCAAAAATATTGCACCAATAGTTCCCGAGACACAGCCAAATTCCAATTTTTTTTTTACGCAATTGACTTCAATACAGGGAAATACAGAATTAAATTACGCATCAGGGATAATTATTCCGAACTTATTGTGACCCCGCGTTTGAGGGTTATACTAAAAAAACTACAATTCCTAGCGCAACGAGTATTACGGCGCACACACACAACTTTCAACATAACTTGCGTTACGGAATTTTCTTGCAATAAATTTCAGAACAGAGAGAAACAGAATTAAATTCTGCATCTGGGAAAATTATTCTGAGCTTATTGTGATACCGCGTTCGCGTGTTATTCTAAAAATACTACAATTCCTAGCGCAACGAGTACTACGGCGCACACACACAACTTTCAATATTGCTCGCGTTACGGAATTTTCCCGCAATAAATTTTTATACAAGGAAATGCAGAATTAAATTCTGCATCTGGGAAAATTATTCCAAACTTATTGTGACATTGCGTTCGTGCGTTATACTAAAAAAACTACAATTCCTAGGGCATTGAGTACTACAGCGCACACACACATCTTTCAATATAACTCGCATTACGACATACGGTGCTCTGAACACAAGTCACTTTTACCGCTACCTTCGTACAGTGCCCTGAATGGGAGTCACTTCTACTGCTGCCCTTGTACGGTGCCCTGAACACGAGTTACTTCTACCGCTACCCTCATACGGTGCCCTAATTCCTAGCGCAACGAGTATTACGGCGCACACACACAACTTTCAATGTAACTCGCGTTACGGAATTTTCTTGCAATGAATTTCAGAATATGGAGAAACAGAATTAAATTCTGCATCTGGAAAAATTTTTCCGAACTTATTGTGACACCGCGTTCGCGTGTTATACTAAAAAAAACAACAATTCTTAGCGGAACGAGTACTACGGGGCGCACACACAACTTTCAATATAGCTCGCGTTACGGAATTTTCTTGCAATAAATTTCAGAACAGAGAGAAACAGAATTAAATTCTGCATCTGGGAAAATTATTCCGAACTTATTGTGACATCGCGTTCGTGTGTTATACTAAAAAAACTACAATTCCTAGTGCATCGGGTACTACAGCGTACACATCAATCAATATAACTCGCATTACGGAATACGGTGCCCTGAACATGAGTCACTTCTACCGCTACCCACATACGGTGCCCTGATTCCTAGCTAGCGCAACGAGTACTACGGCGCACACATACAACTTTCAATATAACATTACGGAATTTTCTTGCAATAAATTTCAGAACAGAAAGAAACAGAATTAAATTCTGCATCTGGGAAAATTATTCCGAACTTATTGTGATATCGCGTTCGCGTGTTATTCTAAGAAAACTACAATTCCTACCGCAACGAGTACTATGGCGCACACACACAACTAAAAATAATGTAAAATAAAATCGATGATTGACTGTCTGCTGCGAAACCGAAGACGCATCCGACGGCACGCGTCAATTTTGAGTTATTACGGTACCCACGTTACATGTGATTTAAGACAAAAATATAATTAATTATGATTTAATAAAGTTTCCAAACTTACTAGTGTGTCGGATAATCAAAGAATAAGACGGCCGACGGATCGTCTTACGAGTAAGTATACCCGTAGTCACGGTTTACCATACATGATAGATGTTTATCAATACATTGTTTTCAATACATTGTCAATTGTTTATGAAATACGAATCGATTTACCGAATAATAGATAGAAGATTTAGCAACCGTACATGAGTGTTACGCGTAATGAAAACAAATATTTCCGCTAAGATTAGAGCGTTAGAGCGTTAGAGGCTACAAGTTTCCGATTACTTTTACTTACATGGTAGCTCTTGCATTTGCTAATTGAGAACCAACAAGTATTAGTCCAATATTAAGTTCAAAATAGTTGCACAGGCGAAAGAACAATCACCGACGGCCGACGAAACCTCATACGTGCACATGTTAACTGCCGATTGAATTGTTCCACGGTGGATAAACGTTTAACGCATGCAATCACACTAGCAAACCTCTGCCCACGTCCAAATCTGGTATATGCTGTCGATTGTATATTAAATATAAATCGATTTACTTAATTATGATATAAAGAAACGCGATTCATTCGATGACCGGAATAGAACTGCATGTACACCGAACTGCACATTGCCTCTTTGGCGACAACACGCGGTCACTGCCATACGCAGTGTCATACGCCCGTTCAACACGACAAAAAATTGTTTACATATATACACAGATATTCACTTATTTTACTATGACAGCACTTCTAGCATTACAAACGCGCTTAGCGGTATGTCTACGGCGTCTGCTAATTGCGATTCACTTATTGCAGGATACAGATCGTTGGCCATCCCGTATATTAATAATTTTCAACCTGTTCCCTTTTATATCTTTTCATTTGCACTCCCTAATGCGATTTTTCGTTATGAATGATTTTTTTCTTTCAATCCGTTTTTTTCCGATGGCTTTCAGATTATGAGATTATTGCGGTTGTAAAACCGTGAAAAATTACAGCGAGACTGAAAACGAATCCGACGGTACGCGTTTAATATGAGTTATTACAGTACTGTCGTTGTATGAGGATTATAGAACCAGAAGGTAAATTATGATGTAATAATATTTACAAACTTACCAGTACAACGGGAAATCGAAGAAAGTATTGGAACAAAACACGTAGGCTGTGCATTTATTAAGTCCATACTTAAATAACAAACATTATTTAATCCGACAATATTCCCGTGAAATTCTGCCAAGGACAGACAATAAAGACACTTAATCAAAATTAAAAGTCGGGAACACATTTTTAATTCGCATTCTCAGCATCGATATACTCCAATGGCCGTCGGACAGACGAACACACGAGTTTAATAATCAGTTCAAGCACAAATCATTAGATGAACTAAACACGTCTATTGTCAATAAGTGTAGCCACTTATGCCAATTTTTATCTATAAAATAAAAGCAATTGGTGAAAGAAAGGTGTACAACCGCGCGCTGGTAAGGACAGACTGAAATTTCAAAACGTTCGCACCGCGAGCGCAGCAATGCATTCGTCAATGCTATAAAAAAGTTGTTTATACACAAACCCTGATAAGCGTGTGGTGTTGAAATCGTCGAAATCACGCTGAGAGCTCGCACGGATATGGCGTACTTAGGGTCACCAACAAACAATCTAAAAATGCAAATCCTAGTGTCACCTCTGATTTAAAATGTAAGCGTGAAATCAAAGAAACGTGTTTGTATCGGCGAGAGTTAGTCGTTAGAGCGACTATACGAATTGTGATACGCGCATTGAGTTAAAATATGAACAAAGGTAACACCGTACTTGCCGAAACGACATTGCAGCGGCATCTATCGTTATACCCATGCCTGCAATAATACTAAGCAAACATTAAATACAAAATCTGGTTTTGATAAAATGTTCTTTTAAAATACATGTACAAATTTTAAAAAAACTACTCTCAATTTATAATTAATCACATCAAGAATTCTTGTTTAACTTAATAATGCTTCATAAACATATCAAAATATATAAATGCGTGTGTATCTATAAACAATTTTTACAAATAGGTCTTAAGAACTATTATCTTAATGTATTATAAATTGCCTCATCGGAGTCAGAAGTGACGCTTTCGCCGTTAGAGCCTAGCTTCACGTAGCAATATTCTGAATGACTCTTCTTTCTGTTCGCACATTTGCACATCGAATTCGTCTCACACCTGCACCTGGTGCCATCGCAGATTTCCGCGTAAATATTCTCATTCGACGTTCTCCGCCTGCCACTGGGTTTCAAGCTGACTTCATCCGCAACTTGACAATACGGGATGTCTTCCTCAATCAGCTTACCGCGTACGCTGCTTTTAGCAAATTTGGTTTCGTGTATTTGCACAATAACCGACTTAACGTTAGATTTTTTCTCAATTTCTACATCAAGTGGAATACTTGGCGAATCTGATTGTCGCACATTTCGGTTTTTTTCGAAATTACTAGAAAGCATCGAATGTTTGCTGACACTTCTTTTTTGCACTTTGGTCTTCACATGAAATTCGGAACAAAGTCTATCGGTGATATAAGAAGTGTCCTCCTTACCTAAGGTGGGTATTAGATCGGGTTTGCTTTTCTTCGGTTTGGAATGGGGTTTATCCTCGGCAAGTTTGATTTCATCCAAGTTATCTGTTGATGTTGGCACTTGCGGTTCTGCTCGTTGAACATTCATATTTCTTGTTTCCACTAAACTATCATCGTTATCCAAAATGCACATTTGAAAATCATAACTTAAATTATCTGATAGACTTGATTTCGAGTTCTTCCATTCGGTACTGTTCGTCCTGTGAGGTTCCTTCTCTTCAACAACAAACAATTGTGTGTCTAAACTTTGACACTTTAGCAACGCTGCATTATTAGTAATTTGAGTTGGAGTTTCTGCTAAGTCTATTCGTTTTGAGGAAAACATAAAACTCGCGGACTTTTTAACAGGATTGTGACTCTTTCTACCAAACTTTTCTTCAATCAATTTCGACATGTCTTTATATCTATCAATGCTTTTGATTTTCTCCATTTCTTCCGAGTTGTCCGTTCCGCCTATACTAAGAATTTTAAAGTGCTTATACCACTTTTTCGGTTTTGGAAACTTTTCCAAAACTTCCTTCGTTATCAATTGCTTTTCGTGTATACTGGAGTCATCTGACTTATGCTTATTGCTCTCGGTTTTGTTGTGGCAGTTTGCTTTGCATGATTTTCCATGAGCTGAACATTCAGAGCAACTTGAGTTTAAATTGGGAGCAAGTCGGACTTCGCGGTACCAATTTTCTACATTAGTATGACAAAAGGCGAGGGCAGTTTGTAATCTTTGGGATTTGAAGAGGCGATTTTCCGAGTCGAAGCCCAGCATACAGCGCGATATTTTAACATCCGAGTTAAGGTTGATGCAGCTGATTTCGTTCCGCGAGGTTTCTGATGGAGCAGGCAGTGTACAAGTCACCAGCAACGGTTCTTGAAACTTTCGTTCCAATATATAAGTATCTGTAAACACAGAAATTGACTAAATTAAAAAATAAGACGACAAGTTTAGTGTATCGCTTAGAAGATTCATCTGAAGAGTTCAAATTTAAAAGCTGCGACCAATTGGCGAAAATGAAGTCTAATAGGTACAAAGAGACGTACAAAGTGACACAACAATTTCTCAGGTACATTCGAGGTCCACCTGGTCAGGCCAACCCATCTTTTTTGTTTATCTCTTTAACGGTCAATTATTCTTCAATATGACATGTTTAATGATCTAAAGAAGTAAAGATGATTATCATTCTTTGAAATAAAGTTATTTGTTTTGCATGGGTGCGCGCACATTTGTTAAATTATATCCTCAATGAGGTACCCGCGTATTGCTCAGGTTCAGCAGAGATTACATGCAAAGGACGTCCGTTAAACTCGTACTGATTCAAAATTCACAGCATGCGAATGTTTACCCGACATGAATTGGATTGAAATGTTACTATCACGCAAAGTAATTATCGCATGTAGAGTAAATTGTTACACACCTGGGAAATCCTTGGGTACACCGTGTGGTAAAGGGCCAACCATTAGTTTAACCTTGATTGGCAATGCCACCCTTCGCAGGAGATGTGGAATTTTGTACAGGCAATCTTTGTCCAACGCCAGAGGGCCGGTCTTGTCGAGCATGCCCGGAAAACAGAGTTTTGCTTTGACTGAACTATGAATCTCGTAGAATTCACCTTTCGTGGTAAGAGGAACATAAAATTCCTGTGAATAGAAAATGGAAGCATTTAATACATTTACCTTAGCCATAACCATTTCAAAATCTTTTAACATACTTGATTTGTTTGACTTATTAGTTGAGCATATCTGTTGGCCAAGTCCTTATCGCGTGCCGATTTGGATACCCGAGATGATTTGGTCGACTGCCTGCCATTATCCTGATCACGATGTTGGAAGACGGCTCGAAGTTGGAACAACTGGCCGGGTTTGACTTGGGTCTTAAGGTATTGAAATTTGCTGCTGGGGATCGATTCTACAACAGGAAACCCAACTATTAAATCAGGCGCGACTTGATTGCTGGAAACATCTTCGCGATGCTTGGTTCAATTTATACACCCAGTATCAACAATAAAATATTTTAGTGCTTCGTGTCTGGCATGCGAAGTGGCGAGGCACGGCGTCAATAAAAACTTACCGGAGGGGTCAGGGTGATGACCAGCGTATGCAATAAACGGTTGAATGCTAATAAAAGAGCACACTTGCTCTCGAACTAGTTGCAGCACCGACGTGTATGCTACTGCACATCTTTCACCTTTTTCGTTAATTAACGAAAACCATCCTGCAACAAGAAGTACAATCATAAACCTCATTTCAAATCAATGTAAAGTGCATAACAATTCTTTTCATTTATATTGATTAAAGTTTACTAATCAGTGGAAACATTAAAATTAAATGTTGGTATATAGATACCTCAGCAGTCAACCGGAACGTACGCGTGAGTAATATATGACATGTTGGCAGCAAACACGGAGAAAATTGTGAATGAGTCCGTTAAATCGCAAAAAAAATTAAAATACTTAGAATATAAGTGCCCACATGTTTAAACTAGTATTCACTTATCAGCAATACGTCCATTACCATTGACAAGAAGGAAATTAGAATTATCACGCACATTAACTTACTTTTCCATGTTTGGAGTAAAGTTCCTTATCTATGAATATTTTAATTTTTGCAAATTCCTAGAAATTACGATGATAGCAAATTGAAGTCATGCACAACCGAGATAAAATATGAAAATGTGAGTGTTGAACTAAATTCGCGAAAACCTCGTGACGGCCCTGCAAAACCTCAAATACAAATAATTACCTAGTGCCGGTGCGTTAAGAAGAATTGATAAACACGGGAAGTGTTACATAACACGGCGTAGTTAGCGCGCAAATAAAAAGCAACGATTCCAGATAAAAACGCCATATCCGCCCGATGGTAAAGCAAACAAGCACACAACACGGAATTAAATAACGAAAGAAAATATAACAAACACATCATTCGGCATCGTTGTTCGGCGTCGCTGGATCTATGGTGTTATACAGTTGCAATAAATCTGCAATTATTATTGCGCACCGCTTGGGAATATTTTTCTCGCACAATGGGATTTCCTCAATAGTATGTCATAACAGTTCTCACATACATTTTCTCCTCTTTCCATTCTTTTGATACATGGAAATGCATTCATGGGAAATTTTACTCGCCTTTTGCCTCAATCCAGAACAATGTTAGAGTTCTGTAAGTCGTGACATCACAGATTAAAAGTGTCAACATCAAATGTAATCAAAAGAGGGGTGGAAATTAAAGAGATGCAAAAGACCTTTTCTGGTGGTATTGCACAACATTTGCCGCTTTCGAACGATTAGAAGCTGGGCGCAGTAATGAAGCGTCAGGCAATTAATACTAATTACTGTTATTACGCAGTGACATTAATCGCTGCCGTAAATTACTCAGTGGCAGACGCCATTTGTGATTTGCGATCATTTGCAGATATTAAGTGCGCCACACACGAAATACTTTCGTTAACTCGAAGGCAGCAGCTTATAAAAGATGATATAACATGTTTTAAGCATCACTAATCCAACGAATAAATTACAACTCACCATTATATCCCTCTGGGAAATGCAGAACGCTTCCCTCTGATGATTTGTCTTTGGCGCGTTTAGTTGGTACGCTTTTCGCTTCTATTTTCGTAAAACTATCGAAACATCGATAAAGCAACAAAGCTTCACCTCCGTCAACCCGCACCACCCTAGGAAGAGAGTATCTTTCGAGAAAATCTCTAGCATCGAGTTCCTCATGATTTCGTTTTCGCTCTCCGGTAGATTCAGGACTCATTTCTGGTGTTGTCCGGCTGTGAGTCTCGCGACTCTTAGTACTGTCGGGAGTGTTGTCATTGGAAGAATCCACATATTGCGAAGAATCGTGCGAATTGTAGCGTCGTAGGACTGCACATTTGCGCTCACGCTTGTCACGTCGTTTTTCATTGAAGATGAAGTGTGACGCGTCAAAACTTGTGATGTCCGAATGCCGGAAGAGCGGATTATAGGACGTCTTCGGCGACAGCGGGCTACGCATTCGCAGCGAGGGCATCGATGAATTACGACTGCAGGAGTTTCCGCCGCTCTTACTAGAGCTGCTGCGAGAGGATACCGTAGCGTTGTGAAACATCATTTTTGGTTTTCCATCAAAAACCTGCAGAAAAAAACAAGTTTTTAACATATTTTCAATAAAACAATTAAACCGGTAATTTAAAAAAATGTAGGTATAATCCAAAGAGACATCAGTTTAAAAATGTGAATATTTTTTCGTCTCTACCAAAGAAAACAATGAAACAATTAAAGTTCTCATAAATCCCAAGTCAACGACATTTCGCCAAACCCGACTACAATACTTAAATCGTGTCCCAGTTTTTAAATTTTCATGCGTTAAATCGCAAAACATGTAGAAATTAATTATGCATTGTTATTACATCATTGCGACGCGTGGAATACACAAATAACGCACGTATGATGCAAAAGATCGTAATTTACATCTGTGAACTTTTTGCAAGTTTTTACGCCGTCCCACGACCATTATGATTGAAATCCTCAACAAGTCTGTACCTCCACAACACATACGAATACAACAATAGTGTTTAATTCATTAGTACATTTTCATGTGCATCATAAATGTATATAAGTTTCCTCAGCGTCAATTTCAAGCTTCTATCGCCTTCCTACTCTCGTTTTTTTTTTGTAAAATGCATTACGTGTCTTTGAGTCATAACTTCAACAACATAACATCATTTATTATTTGCGTTAAGAGATGATTTCCACCTAGCTAGCAAGTCAGATAACGCATTATTACGTTTCGTGTTTAATTATAATATTACAATTGTGAACCGGGCGCGAATGTGCTTTGATTTCAATAAACACATTCAATTCGCAACAAAATTAGCATCCACACTCGGCGTGCATTAATGAAGTAATGGCAATTAGACAGGTCGAATCATTGTTCGTCAGCGTGTTGCTCATCGCGTGATTTCCTCCTATTATGCTCGAATGTTCCATGCGTTGAACAATCAACCAACTGAATAAAAACAAGTTATCCGCGCGCAGAGTCCTGGTTATGACCAGGAATTCCTTGTTGCCCCATTATATCTGCACAATTGATGAAACGATAATTCTCCAATTTCATTGCGAAATATATGCTCATTATTAGTATAAGTATCAAGTTTTACGCGATTTCGTGATTAGACAAACAAATTTATAAAACGGATGAAAAAGTTACTCTTGCGTAGAGGTGAAATAACCCCTATTACTTTTATCAATCTTTCGACTTTTTTTTGCTGCAGGCATTCAAAAGGCTCAAAGGTTTATGTCATTTTGCGTCGCATCGCAGGCGTCTAAGCACGCTATTCAAGAACGCCAGCATTTTACGTTATTAGCATAAATATGGATAAGTTGTAAACGTAGCAGTGGTTTGCAACAATGTTGCGCGTAGGGAATAACTTTATGGATTATAAAAAAACTCGTTACTTGTCCTATGCTTCCAGCGAGGTGCATAAAATCATTATGCGTGTGTTGTATCGGTGTCATATAGGTCGTCGTACGACATATGACAATTTGAGATAAACTATCACTAACATAAGATAAAACAATGCGTACAAACTATCAAACTTTCTGCACAACTATTCATGAAATATTTTCTTGCACATTTAAATGAAATATAATTATTGTGTTCTTTTGCATGAATTGAATTAATATCGGATATAAAAACAATTTCAAAAATATACCTATTACCAAATAAAGGTCTTGGACAAAAAAGTTATATGTTTACCAAGTGTGGAAAAAGGATTACTTTACTCTTCGCTTTTTTTATATGTTGAATGAGTGTTAAATCACATAATCCCGTGATAAATGGTTTTCAGATTAAGTTTCGCGCTTCAACATGTTTTTTGTGTGTTATTTCTCTTTCGATATGTCATAACATCGCGAGTATGTAATGAAAAGTGTGATGTAAGAACACAGCCAACGACATGACCTGCAATGTCAACTTTGCGGTGCGCGCCCGCCGCAAATGCATAAGTAACGTTTTCGCATTAAATTCAGGCGCCTGAATAATTCATCGAATTCTTCGCCATCTGCGGACTAAATTGGGACGACGCGCGGTGGATTTAATTTGGAAGTTGTTGTATAAAAACATCGCATTTGCATTCAGATGAAACTCATTTCTCATTTCTTTTATTTTACTTTTTTGGTAAGCATTATATTATAAGTTGGAAATAATAGATTGGTGGTGTTCTTGGAAATCCACTTGAATGGTATATAATTTTCATATTAGACCCTCGTTTAGTACCCCAAGTTAAACGTGTTTGTAAACATCATAATCATTCAAAACTGCGTCGGGTTCCATTCCACAGAAGCTTGAAATTTAAAAGGTAAGTTGAATGCCGGCGATAAATATTAATCATGCATGAAATAAAACTATAACACACAACGTTATTGCAACATTTAATTTGTTGTTTGCTTGGCTCGTGGTCTATGAATTCTAGCGTATAAATAACGCCCGACGTGTGTGTTGTTCGCAGGGTTACAGTACAGTTTTGATAAATGACCGCGGCGGACATAAATAACGACTTTTGAAAAACTTTCTCATTTATAAAACGCGCGGCCGACTGGACTGGCGGTCGGAATGACCATGTGCGATGTCGTTTCGCTGCCGTCAAGTTGTCATGCGAATTAAGCGCCGCAGCCAATGAAATCGAAAACGACACCCAAGATAAATGGCGAATAATTGCAACACATTGCATGAACACTTGTACTTAAACACTTTCAGCATTTCGAACAAAACCCACCTACGCTAAGATTTAATTTTTTTAAAGTAAAACTGAGACTTAAATAAAACTTAAGCTTGATTGAATAAAAGCTGATTAAATTGGTGCAGGTTTGCGGCGATTGATGCATTTCGGAGCATCAAAACGCCCACACGAAAAGCTCAGCCGATCGGCTTGAATCACCGCCGATTGCTGCAAATATTCGCGGCGTCGGCAGCGGACTCGCCATCCTCGCCAAACCCGCCACGAGCAAAGACCAAAGCCACCAAAGCGAACCAGCCAACTCTTTAAACGAAGCGAGTCATTGGCTCCGTGACCTTGCGGTGACCCACACGCTGTCATTGGGCCGCGTCCGTGTTCGCGCACAAGCGCATACACACTCGCCTAGGCCGTGTGTATCTATTGTTATGACTTTTTATTTATTGTACACGTCGATTATTACGAAATATCAAAATGCACCGCCGACGCGCAATCAGATTCAAAGAAAAACACGTGACACATCGAACAATGTCAAATCAATTTTTATCTAATGGCACTGAAGGCTGTGAAGCTTGAACCATTACGGACACAAAATGACAGATGGAAATTACGTAATTTATTGTCGCTGCTGTGAAAACGGCCGAAGTGTGCGAAAGCTTTACTGTTAGCTTTTCCTCTTGCAATCTTTGGCAAATATCAAAATGTACAAACAAATTGGCACCGAAAACGGTACTTGGTAGTAGTCTCTCTTCCAACGGTACGGTTCCAATCTTTCGCTCGATAAATTAGCCGCGCATTCAAATCGCGCGCGCGCGCGCGAACCTTATAAAGGTCCTCAGTCGCGGTCGAGCGCGCTGCGATTTTCCAGAAAATGTGCCCATTTATTTCATAATTAGGTGAATATATATCTGCGCTGGTAATAACACCGTTAGGTTGTTAATGGTGTACACGCTGGTTATGGTGCCACTCGGTACCTAAGCTGGTATGTAAGCATAAAGGCATACTTACGACGCCAACCCAGTTAAAGAGGGTCAAATCGAAAGAAAAACTCCAAATGAACCATAACACACGTGATTATTTCGCTTGTTTTACTACATAACAGGATCGCAAAGCGCAAACATAATGTTAAAATTTATCTCGGGATTAAAATAACATCTGCTTGCCGTTGCGACTTTTTTTCACACACTTTCCCAGAATGTGGTGTTGACAGAAGCGAAACAAAGAACAATTTACAAACGTAATTAAACAGTTTCTAATTGACATGCACCCAACTGCACTTTGTACTGTATAACTACAAGAAAATTATCTAAAATATTTATTTGCTGTTTATCACTCCCATAGCTAGGAGATGACAGTGGAATGAAAACAAATCACTGCAAAACACGCAACATATCTACAACAATAGCATACATTTGCAATAAATCAACAGGAGTTCGCTTTTGGTTAGCAATTCATGCGTCTAACCAACCATTATGACAGAAACTATATATAACAAAACCAAATTCGATTTTAAACATGCGAGAGTCAAGTTCATAGCTGCGTTTACTCTTTTAACTTAGCGAGTAGGTGTTAATAGTGTGTATTGTATGCGCATATACGCGGAATCGGGAATTCCTGCATAATAACCAATAAAATGAGCAATAAATTTCTGTAACGACGTTGATTTGCACCGCGCCGGATAACCAAATCGACCGATTACAGCAGATTTATGCGAGAATAATAGTTCTTGTGATGAAACAATGTTTTTGCGGTTACGTACTTTGTTGCTACTTCATTCATAATAATTTATACAAAGTAATAACAATATGATGAAGACATGACTTTATTATTGACAGATAATGAAAAAAAAATTTATGGATGAAAATCACAATTGCAATTATAAGTTTATTGCTTTTGTAACTAGAAAATGTCAAATTTAAATGATGGGCATTCATGCCTGCTAACCCAATATCAAAAATACCACCCGGTGTAATTATTTTATGTAATAACAAAGTAATTACTTCATTATAAGGTAAAAACAATTCCTCCGCTTACAACAACATCTGGTGTGTAGTCTAGGCAACAATAAAGGAAAACGAAAAATAATCCGATGTTGTCCAACTTAACTCAATAAATTTGATAATAACTTTATACTATGCTTATTGATATAGAACAACAATTCTATAATCGTATTAAAACTGCTATTTACAATCCTAAGCTGATCTAACCAACAACTTTTACTCTTTAAGTTTAACTGTCCACCATGCAGCACTTGTAGATGTAATATAAGTTGCCTACTAACACAAGCAAACGCTATGTACGTGGATATTGCTAGTGTATTGAAATATATGAGTATATGAATATAATTTTTGCATTGCAACGCGCAAAAGTCGCATCTCGTCGGCATAGCCACGGATCTGCATAAGCGAATTTTACGACGACAATAAAATTCGAATCGTAATGGGTCGCTCTTAATTACACTTATATGCACCGCTCGCACCGTCATAACTAACTAACGAACGCGTATGTGTGTGCACATGCGCGCAATATGTGCAAAGAGCAAAGATTCCACGAGATCTAAAATGACATCGCGTCGCAATCTCAAGCCGAGGAGTGCATACAGGTACAAGTGCTTACCAACTAGTATCAACCGTACGAATATTATTGCGGGGAACAAAAGTTCGCTCTTGCGCATTGCTAAAAATGACGAGGTAATATAATCATCGGCTTGTTCTTTATGTGCGACTCGACCTAAAAATTCTTTAAGACCTTAATCATAGCGACCTATAGGTACACTTATACATGATCTGATATGCAACTGAATATATTGGCTTTAAAGTTGAATTTATTCACCGGTGACAACGAATTTTTATGGGCAGATATTATTTTCGGAATTTATGGAGGAGTACGTTTTAACTTTTTCATATACAGGGTAAAATGAAAATGTTTGTAAGTAAAAGTATATGTTCGAAACTTATACCGCAAGTCAAACATATGTTCCTTCACTAAAACCAAATTTTGTATTACAAAACGGCTTAATTATTGTTTGATTTGACATTTTCTGAAACGAAATCAGGTTTGTCACATGTTGAAAATGTTTAACAAATCACACAAAACAGCAACCACGGTCACGAAATATGTTAATCCTAGAAAATCGTGTTTTCGAACAAGATCACAAAGAGCTTTACTTTCGATTTCAAAACATTTCAATCAAAATTACCATACAAAATAAAAATATATCACGAACTTTACTACGTACTTCATACTGCGAACACCATACTGGTTGTATAATTTTATTATTAATGAACACTTACTTATTATGATGTAACAAAGATTCATCGCGCGTTGTGGGATGTTGGATACAATCTGAAACAAAAAGTTTTCATCAGCATTTCATCAGAAAACCGTACGAAAATATGCATAAAAGAACCTTTTATATGCACGCACATTATAACCATCCTATCATATTTAAATTGCCGTGAAAATATTGTCTATAAACATGAGTCTAACTGTTCTCGCCTAATTTTTAACGCGCATTTCATTCGAAAACAAATTTCAGAACCTCGGCGGTGTTGTGCAAGTGCGCCGCCTATTCACGGATTCCGATCGCAAGACGACACATACCTACGTTATGTGACCCTAACCTTAACCCATCCCGTGGGTTTTTGATCTTCGGCGCGCGTGAAAGACCATGCGGACACATTTTCTGCGCGATAGGCGCAGCGGAATTGTTTTCCACGAGAACCGTGCGGGCATTAAAACACGACATGGGATCAGGACGCGCTTACATGCGTTACTAAGTTTACAAAACTTTATATGAATTGGTTGATTATGAACCTTAGAGTTAAATTTAATACCTAAACAACAACATTTTCTGTTGCAGGATGTTCTTTGAAATGAAAATTTTGTACGAATGCGCGTTAAATCAAATTAGATTTGTGTGTGAAATTACAAACAAATTACAAGACTTTATGTCATAATTTTATGCCCAGAGATAGCGTCAAATGTATAAAATTGAATAATTAAAACAGCAGACTTCTGAACCACAGATGAAAACAATTTTCAAGAGAATTTTTATTTTAAATTTAAAATTATTTTTACTGCCATGATATTGCTGAATGTAATTGAAACATTTCAAGAATCCAGTAAATCCAGTAACGATGATTTGTTCGGTTTGCCAATCGTTAGCAATTATAATTGTTGCGCGTCTTTAGTCACCCGACGAACCGCCGCGATGCAGTTGTGTGGCGCATCGAAAAATACCTGCATTGTTCCGCCGCGCATCGGAATGCTGTTAATTGGTTTTTGTTTGCGTGTTATTAGCCGGCATCGACGATGAAGCACTTTCGGTTTCGACGCTCGCCAGCGCATGTATCTATCCGTGGCGTACTCGGCCGGTTACACGCATTTGTACATGGCCGCCATCTTTGGCGAACATTTTTCCATTTCGATGCTCGTTGTGCACTTGTGGTTTTCCGTTTTGTCACGCTCTCAACATAAGTCGCATTTCAGACAAACCGCATGCATAAATCTTTGTCAAGGTGACACGAGTGTTTAATTATTTTAAATGTACTACATAGATAAACAACACAATTCATATTTTTATCTATCTGCGCGCATGCGTTGTTCTGACACATTTGCCTAACCTAAGTTAACCTTAAAATTCATTAACGCCTATACTAGAAACTTGTGGAAAGACAATGTGTACGTTGTATTATTTCAAACGGTGCCATTTTTAAATCGTTTTTTTTTTAATTCTTGTACATGTGCATTACATGTTCCACCTGCGCGTTTGACGGATATACCATTCGAGAGCTTGTGAATTGCTCGATTCCTACACTGAATACAGTTAGCAGCAATGCTCGCCGTTCGCGCTTTTTTTTATCTTCCTTACCGAGCCTGACTGGCCCGCTTTAAAAGAACCGTTCACAATTCACGCTCGTACAGTAGACGATAATAAAATCTTTAAATTAATAATGTGTATCTCGCCTCTAAACAACTCTCTCAGTCCCACACCATTATATTTCTTATTATTACGTAATTCACAAAATAACAACAAAAAAACTAAAGCACACCAAAAGTAAGTCAAATATTGAACAATAGACTTCACAGAGACTATTTTTACTGTAAAAAAATGTCGCTGTACCCGTAATGCAAAAAACCAACTGATCGTGAAGAACGTTACCACTTTGCAATTTCAATTTGTACTTGTTACTTCTACAAACCAGTCGTTATTAATGTTCTGCTCTGCCCGGTGGTTGTGTTCAGAAGGTAATGATAATTGGTTAATTAAAAAGGCAAACAAATTGGTTATTTAAATACAAAACGGCCTTCGCATTGCTGCCGACGGACGACTGGTGTATCATCATGCAGGTTTTTATTTATTGCGCATATTGCTCATTCTGAGATTGTTTAATAGTTTGCGATTGGAAACAAATGTACAAGTTTGCTTATCTGCGTGAGGCACGACGAGAGGAAAATTGATAAAATCAGTGAAAACAAATATACAACACGAAGAGATGTTCAAGGCTACGATAACTCCTTGAAAATAGCTACCTAAGAAGTGTTTTAATCTTGATTAATATTTTATCATCATCATTCAGATATTCACGTAATTTTTTTAAAGTTAAATGTACGGAATAACTTCAGTAGCACTATTTATCGACTGCCGAATATCATCTGGCCTTGATGAAGGCGTTTCTTGAAGAATAATTGTACAGTTTGGTTTTTTATTATGTAATTATAATCTTTACGCGTATTATAATTACGTCTGATATGGTACGAGTCGTTGCAGCGGCGTTCTAACACGTTCGATTAATTACACGTCTTGGAAGAGTTAATTACATAATGACCTCATCCTTAAATTTAAATCGAAAACACTACTACTAAAAATAGTCTACTGGTGATATCTCGGAATACGTTTTATTGCATAAGATCTAATAAAACGATTCAATCAGGAATTCAATTAAATCGTACACGGCGCAAGTAAAATGTAAAAAACGAAAGCTTTTACTCAGCTTTTACTGTATGTGTGTAATATTGGTTGTCTAAAACAACGCTAGTTGGAGTTGAAAACTTGAGTTAAATGCTCGCGCTGCGAAAATAATGTTGCAATGTTCTTCCTAGTTGTCCTCGTGTTTCTGCATTTGTTACTGATAAACTCGGGATGATCAACGGACGCAGAGCACACTGGGAATAGCCCGTGGCCGGGTCGACGGCGCACGGCCCCAGCGAACAAACAAGCCCATCGTGCCAGTTCTGCGATGTAACGAGCGCGGCGGACATCAGGCTGCAGGAATAAGTATTTGTATAATCGTCGTTTATGCCAATCCGGCGGGCCCAAGCATTGGAAACCAGAAAGCAGCCATCGGAGGCAGCGGCAGCGAACGCTGAACGGATATCGTTGACCCGCTGAAAGGGATATTAGTTAACTGTACTCGGCTGCTTTCTTGCATTGTTGTTCGTTCTTCTTCTCGCTATCATCGTCTTTCTAGGCTGGCGTGTCGATTTCGAAGAAACAAGATTTTGCAGAGCAAAACTCAACGAATACACATTTGTAGCATGAAAAAAATAGATTAGAAATTTTTATTTTATTCATTTTAAGACAATAGTCTTATTCTTAATTCGTGATTTTCACCAATTGTGGCATTGTTCTAATTTAGTGCAGCTCGTGTTAAATGCGTCGCGTTTGTCATGCAGGTTATGTTGTTGAAAGTTCTTCAACAACGAACGAACGGTTTGCGATTGTGGTACGGTACCACAAAGAAAATTTAAATTCTAATTCTCGACTAATGAATTTACACGAAAAAGCTATCAGCAAGAAGTGCACCTAATTACAAACAATTTACCTAACACCTGACACTTCACCTACATTCATTATTAACGTATATAAAACACAATTGCAAAATATTGGTTAAGTGGAGTGCTGTGTGTTGCTTACTTTTCTACTAAGAATATTTTTGCTCAAATTGCAAATAAAGACAATAAAACAATAATGATAAAGAGCAATTTCATATATCGTTTGGTGCGTCGCGTCGTTTCGTTTTTATTTATCAGGTCGTAAATCAAACAAACAAATATGAAAATTACAGGCCATCGCAAACGCATCCACTTATAGGCGTCGAGCGAGAAGACGCGCGTCCAACAGAAAAACTCAAATTGGTAATCACATGTTCCCGCTTATAATTCGTAGTTATGATATTTGTGCTTTCATACATAATGCATTCGAACGGAGATGAAAAGTAACATTATAATAATATGTAACGAAGTAACAGCGAAACACGGCCACGCACGAGACGACATAACAACGTAACAAGCCTCGAAGTGAGTATGAATAATACACACACAGAATTTTCGTCTGTATGCGTACTTGAAGTACGTACAGGAATCGATAGCGCGTCGTTGTTAAACGGCGATTCGAAATTCATTTTTCTTACATTTGACGCGCGCGCTCTTCGCTGTCGCAATACGAATCTGAAATGTAATAAAAATGTGTGCGTTTTGTGCGCTCCATGTTTGGTAAATACAAACGCACGATTTCGATTATTGATTGTGTGGCTCCGCGAGTGAAAGAGATTGAAAATCATGAGTTATCGTGTGTTATTCAACGGAATGATGATTTCTGGAGGTGCGCATTGCGCAGTTATTGACGTCTGATCGCTTGTGTGTTTAGTAAATAATCCATTTTGAAATTACGGTTTTATTATTACAACATTTTCGTCATCTGATAACACATTCTTCGTATTCATCATTTATCAGTCGACATAATTATTGTTATGTCAAGACGTCGACTGCTTCACTGATGTAAGCCACTAATCGCGAATAAAGCGCGGTTACCAAAGAGTAAACAAATTAAATTTCTCAACTGATGTTTCCTGATGCAAATACCCACCGCGCACAAAAGAATAGCATCGTCGATCGTGAAGACATAATTAGAAAATTGCAAAACTGTAATGCACGGTGAAGTGAAGTGTGCAACTGCCTTCGATGTCTTTTGTCATGCTAATATATAATGCGCGCAATTTGCAAAGAGTCGGTTTCATGTCTTATTGTCTCGGGCATTATTGTCAACGACGTAAACAAGTTTTTGTTTTTGCATACAACTCAAGTCATTTGTATACGTAACTTGATTTAGTTTTTGTCGAGAGAAATGGCAAATTGGATTAATTCGTTACAGTGTCATGGAGGAACAAACCAAACATAATTTTAAACTGGTTAGGCACTTTCACTTAACTTCTATGATAAATCACATTTAAGTAAGTCACAAATTGTTGCTTTTTATGCATTAGACACATTAAATTAAGATAAAACTCTCTCCAAAATTTCAAAAATGATTTTTAAACAATTCTAAAGTTCTATTATTATTA